TGTTGGAGAGAGATGTAGCATATGAAGAAATAGAAAGTAAGCAAATGATTCTAGAAAGAAGTCAAATGTTATCAGAAGCTCCTTCGATCTTGTGCCGTCAACCAATCCAGCGTAACGTGACAATACGTTACTCCGTGACAGAGCAAGTCATGCAATCACTGCAAGACATYGGCAGGATTGTGAAGAACGTGACGGACCCTGCTCGATCTACAATTGAATCAGTCAAGAAAGGTCCTCGTGGTTTTATAAACGAGTGCAAGATAATCACCAGGAATACAGAAGGAGAAGTGTGTCCCACAAGAATCGAGTCTATTAATGTTAGAATCAAAGATGTGGAGGGCAACGAGGTGGAAAAGAAAGTGGCTGAAGACAAAACTGGAAAATACCGTGTGAGTTATAAAGCAGAGAAAGCGGGAAGGTACGAAATTCAGGTGAATATTGGAGGAGAAAGGATCAAGAACTCGCCCCAGAATGTAGAGATACTTGAGGTGAAGGAGTTGTTCAAACCTGTGAAAACCTTTGGAGAAGAGGGAAGTGGTAGAGGACAGTTGAATAGTCCACATTCGATAGCAGTCAGTGATAATGGAGAGATAGCCATTGCTGAATGGGGTAACCACCGTATTCAAATATTCAGTCTTGATGGAAACTATTTAAGAGAGTTTGGCAKMMAAGRAAMAGGAGAAGGTCAACTGTATTGTCCATTTGGAGTGGTGTTTAATGAAGACAGAATAACTGTCAGTGATCGTCCAGATGGTAAAGGCAGGATACAAGAGTTTGACTTGAACGGTACTTATGTAAGAACCATCTACAGACCTGACCAATGGTTTGTACCGCGTGGAATGTGTGTTAACGATGATAAAAACATCGCAGTGTGCTGTTGGGGAAAACAAGAACTGGGTATCAAACCATGTGTCAAGGTGTTCAGTAAACAAGGAGATTTAGTTCATGAGTTTGATATGCCTGATAATAATGAACAGCCTTCCTACATCACCTTTGGAAACGGCAAATACTTTGTATCTTATTATGACATAAACTATGTTCGTGTTTTTGATGTGAATGGAGTTTTCTCGTACAAGTTTGGAGAAAAGGGAGAAAGAGACGGTCAGTTTAATGGTGTATGTGGACTGGCTGTTTATGGTCCAGACATGATTCTTGTCTGTGATAGTTATAATCACCGCGTTCAACTTTTCACACAAGAAGGTCAGTTTATAAGGTCATTTGGAAGCCGTAGTTCAGGTGTTGGTCAGATAAATGGTCCTATCGATGTAGTAGTTACAGCTGATGGTCGAGTGTTTGTGCTAGAATATCTGGGTCATAGGGTTTCTGTTTGGTGTTAATAGGTATCAACCATTCAACACTTCTTTACGCTTATGTACCTCCCATACAGTACGGTATAACCCTAATAACTCTTTCATTATTATTTCCATGAAAGCTTTGAGAAAAACATTGATTTTATCGTCATTATTGATGAGTAAACTCGAAATTAGTATTTCTTAGTTTTGTAGATTCTCTTTGTTTT